TAGCTAGACTTTAATAGAACGGAACGAAATGAGAAGAAAAAGCAATGTGGAACAAAATGTACGAGCACCGGAGGTGCTATAGAAAATTGAGGAGAGAGGAAGTGTAGTAAGCTAGAGTGCGTACGTTTGTTTAATTAGCTATCCCAGTCTCCTTGTCGTTGCTCTTTTTCGCTTATCCTATGTACCTCCAGTGGCTCCGTCCCGAGCCTTGGCCCATCAAAAGCAAAACGTTCAGATGCTGGCAACGCGCGTCATGTTACGATGAGGTTTTGGAGACTGTCGGTGATGAATTCGAGTAGGTGTGGAGGCTGTTTTCGAGGTCAGCGGTCGTGTAGCAGCGGTTGGATGTATGATAGGATGAACAGAATGTGTACGTACCTTTTCTTCTCTTCCTTACAACTTCCGACAAGGCCCGTGCCAGCCCATCTCAGCCCTCGAATCCCTCGCGAGGTTTTTGTAGAGACGACAGGAGCATGGCGCGGCGTTCGAGCGTATATGCTCTCGATGTGCTCTTCTCCTATATATGCAAGTTCAAAAGTTAGTCCGAGAACAGAATGAGAAGATGGGACGCACCTCCGTAGTAAACGATCAGAAATACATTGTCCTAGATCGTTCTTGAGATAACGGCCTCGCCAAAGTGCGGAGGGTGCACTACGGGCGCGAGTGCGTTCGGAGCGCGGATGCAGAGGGCAGGAGCTCTGCCGAAAGACGTCTTCGGTGGTGCGTACATTTTCTCGCTCAAGGGGAGAGGGAAATCGACATGTTTGGTATGAGAGTGAGAGAAGCGCGAATTCGGACCGAAAGACGTCTCCAGAAGAAGTGTTTCGAACAAAAAGACATATCCTGGAGATGCTTTTATGACCAAAAGACGTCTGCGGGATAAGTGTTTCCGACTGGAAGACATCTCCAGAAGACGCGTTCGAACGAAAAGACGTCTCCAGAGTCCGGCGTTCCCAAGTGTCATGTCCGTTGCAAATTGGCGGACTTTGAAAGCTGCCGGGCAAGCCGCGCGCGCGGGCCACAGTGAGAGACAGTGAGACTCATCGACACTTCGCCGGTGGCACCCTTTTCCCCTGGGAAAAGATCCCCGAAAAGGCAGGGGAAAAGACAGTCTTTTCCGATGTAATTACGTGACGGAAAATATTGTATTTTCAGCCCCGGAAATGTAATAGAAAAGACCGGCTTTTCCGGCACGTTTTTTGCTCTATTGTTCTCCGCGAAAAACCTCTCTTTTTGTGGAATAAAAGCCTTTGTTTACCACCGGGAAAACACAGTCTTTTCCCAGAGTCAAAGGGCTCGGAAAATGTTCACTTTTCCGATGCCTTTTCAATCACTCAAAAGGCAATCTTTTCCAGGACTCAAACACAGCCTTTTCTTGAACAAAAAGACTATCTTTTTGGTGCGGTAAATGTCGTGCCCACTACGTGCCCGCCTCGTCCCCACTGTGCGCCCGCCTTGTGCCCGCTGTGCACCCGCTTCGTACCCACTGTGTCCTCGCCCGTGCCCGCAATCTACCACCGCAATCTAAGCAAGATACAGTGGCGCACAAAAAGAATGCAGGTGGCACTGTGGCCCCGACCATGATCCGAGTTTTTTTCAGTCATGCTATATGATCTTGCTTGGCTTTTTGCATCATAGAATGGGCCTATATGTGGTGCCTTCAGAATGCGTAAGGTCTGTATGATTAGCCATAAATATAGTTATAGAATGCCTGATTTGAATATAATCGTCGATTTTCCGATATATTTGCTTGCACTTGGAAGACCTCATCAAATCAGATGAACCAAAGTGTTTAAATGATATTCAGAAGGTATATTACAAGATTGGGTATGCGGCTGGACAGTATAAAAATCATGTGTGATTCTGGCTAGGAGAGACATTTTTGCAACAAATGCAGGGAGCAGCAAAAGCCTGCAGAAGACACAGTAGCAGTGGTAACCACTCCAAATACCCTATGAATGATTCCATCCTACATTGTACCTTCGTCATGGGTTATGTATAGTAGGGTATGGTATAGCCTGCATATTCTGGAACACTACGATGATATCTGCATTTTGTTGCAAGAATGTCTCTCCTAGCCAGAATCACACATGATTTTTATACTGTCCAGTCACATACCCAATCTTGTAATATACCTTCTGAATATCATTTAAACACTTTGGTTCATCTGATTTGATGAGGTCTTCCAAGTGCAAGCAGATATATCAGAAAATCAACGATTATATTCAAATCAGGCATTCTATAACTATATTTATGGCTAATCATACAGACCTTACGCATTCTGAAGGAACCACATATAGGCCCATTCTATGATGCAAAAAGCCAAGCAAGATCATATAGCATGACTGAAAAAAACTCGGATCATGGTCGGGGCCACAGTGCCACCTGCATTCTTTTTGTGCGCCACTGTATGTATTTGTGCCCGGTTCAGCTACGAATGAGGTGGGTAAAGCTAGTGAGTCGACTGAGCCTGCCAAACCCGCCAGTCCTTGCTTCCTTCTCTCCGGTCTCAAACGCGCTTGTGGGCACAGAGCGGGTGCAAATTGGCACGAAGCGGGCACATAGTGGGAACAAGGCGGGCACAAGGCGGGCGCACAGTGGGGACGAGGCGGGCACGTAGTGGGCACAAGGCGGGCGCTTAGTGGGCACGAGGCGGGCGCTGCGTGCCCGCTAAGTGGGCACGACATTTACCACACCAAAAAGATAGTCTTTTTGTTCAAGAAAAGGCTGTGTTTGAGTCCTGGAAAAGATTGCCTTTTGAGTGATTGAAAAGGCATCGGAAAAGTGAACATTTTCCGAGCCCTTTGACTCTGGGAAAAGACTGTGTTTTCCCGGTGGTAAACAAAGGCTTTTATTCCACAAAAACAGAGAGTTTTCGCGGAGAACAATAGAGCGAAAAACGTGCCAGAAAAGCCGGTCTTTTCTATCACATTTCCGGGGCTGAAAATAAAAATATTTTCCGTCACGTAATTACATCGGAAAAGACTGTCTTTTCCCCTGCCTTTTCGGGGACCTTTTCCCAGGGGAAAAGGGTGCCACCGGCGAAATGCGATCTGGTACTAGTACTAGTCTCCCACAGGCAGACCTTGGTGTTGAAGATAGGATGATACGGCTCTCGAAAACATGTACGTACCCCCGCCTTTGTCTCTTGCTCGTCACATCTTGAAGAGTTCAGGGGTGTATATAGTATAATGCGAATGAGTTCAAGGCCGTACACGCAGAGACTTGCTCTCATGTGTGTATGGTCCATCCTCTGTGTTTGAGGGTGTAGGACGGCACATACCAACGATGTATCCTTCTCTCGGGGAAAACACGCTCCTGTCACGCGGTAAGTGCCGGGAGTGTCTTGTCTGTGACGGAATCGTGTTTTTGTGGCACTTGTGTAGTTGGTTTGTATGTCTTGGGGGAGGGGTCCTGCAGCAATGAGAACCGCTCGAAATTCCCTCGAAATTCCACGGCGTGACAGCTTTGATGGCCATGAGATACACCCGGTAACGGCACCCGAATAGATAAGATTGATGAACGGCGCCTCGCGTATAATTCGCGTACCCCTCAGGCGCCCGCACTGGATTGTGTTTTTGATTATCGGGAGCGTGTTTTTTCGGCGTCGTCCCACCTTCGGCGGAATTCTGGCTGGCAGCTTGGTGTGAAGCGCCCAGGTGCGCAGACACCTTCCTATCCAAAAAAACACAATCCGGTCGCATCAAAACACAATCCAGCGCGCCTCCGTCACGTCGCGCCACACTCCCTGTCTTGCCACACTCTCCGGCGCCCTTCACTTGCTCCCTCTCAATTTCACCATAAACAAATCCCCAGTAGCTCTTACAACCACCCTCCAGCTCATGCGTAATGTGTAAAGGCTACGAGGTACAAGTCAGAATATTTTCTGGGCCGCTTCGCGGCTCTTCGTGAAGTGGTCAATGATTCCATGACTGTATATAGATGTACATGACTCAAAATGCATACATTTTTTACTTTGAAATATATTTTGCACTCTCCATGCATTTAGCACTGTCTCTGCGAGCCCCACTCCATAATCTGCCCTCAGAGGCCATGAATGTAACTCAAACGGCACCTCCACGCAGTGGTGCCACACTCCGAGAGCCCAATCTGCACGCACGGCGCGTCGTCACGAAGAGTCACGTCACGTCACATCGTTACCGTAGCGCGTTTTTTCCATTTCCCAGTTTTACTTCCCTCTTCTCCACTCCCTCCATCTTCTGACGCCACTCCTCCACCCTCTCTCGCTGGTTTGCTCACTCTCCCCTAACCCCATTGCGCCCCCTCTTTCTTTCTTTGCTAACAGCGTACTCGCCCTCGCCCTCGCCCTCGCATCCTCATCCCCTCATCGTCGCTCAACGGTACCCGTAGCCAGCACGGTCGGCCCCATCAACCCTATCGATAAAACGCTCCAGGCCGTGGCGGTTCCATCCTCCCATCACCTGCCGCCTGCCGAGATTTGTTTGCTCGCTTACGCCCCCTTCTACTGACCTATACTACTAAGTAGTCGCAGCGTACTACAAACGATGACCGCGCTCCCTTTAGCAACCGCCGAGGACAACTACGGCTCTGTCTTCGTTCTTTGCAAGCGCATTCACGTACGCTCACTTTCTTTGGCAGCACCTTTCTTGGCACCAGTACATGTAGCATAATTATAATTCTACCTGCTAGTAAGAAGAAGTTCCTTTACAATTGATCCTCAGGAAAATAATATTAAATGCCAGTACTGGGCTGGCTATTGGGGCGGCCGGGGGGTGGTTCTAGGTGGCCGGGTGGCCCAGGGTGATGGGGTAGGGATGCTGGAGATGGGTAGGGCGGGTAGGTAGGGCGTATATGGTGAAATGGGCTGGGTTATGTAGGGATAAAATGGGGAATATGGGCAGGGATGATCGTAGGGTGAATAGGGATAGAACGGTGGCCGATAAAAATACGGAAAAATGGTAGAATAATAGTGGGGATGCTAGGGTAGGGGTACTGGATACCTGGGGGTAGATCGGTAGGGGAAACGGGGTGATCTGGGGGTATTTTGGTAATTCTGCAAGTTTTGTGAGTTAGGACAAACGGATCGCATTGCCGGGTGTCATTTCGATGGAATTGACATATAAAACGTAAATTGTGGCCCGATTACGGCAACATGAAGGAGGTCGATTTTGGCAGTTCTGACTATCAGATAAACATTGATAAATATATAAGATGGTGGAAATCGATTTTTGAAGGATTCAGTCCATTTGTTCCGAAGTTATAGCGTGAACGGTCAGCAAGATATTGCCCTATCACGGCGAAAGGGGGTGGGCAGGCCAGAACTGGGGATATAGCGGTTCGATTACCTTGGTTTTTGCTGTCATGGGTAGTCCTATATCAATACTAAGTGATGGGGAGCACACCGGACACAAAAACAATGATCGTGGCCTTGGTAGTGGTGCTGCGTCTAGGGGAGGAGGAGGAGAACATCTACCCTGGGGGTATTACCATGGTTAGAATATTTGGTGGTGTTGAAGTGATGATTGGACAATATAATTTGATGTTTGGGAAGTCGATCTACGGTGCAACATTGGTCAAAATGGTCCTGCACTAATTGTGGGGCGCTGAGGGGGTAAAACAGTGTATTGGGCCACAGTATAATCACAGAAACACCAATTTACGCGTTTTTGGCACCGTTCTTGTTGTGGTAATTTAGTTTAAATGTATATAAACATTATTCAAGCACAAGAACGGCCACTGGTAGATGGT